TCCGGGATTTCCTATTGTAGAGAGAAATATTTGTAAATTTATCCGTTTGTGTGTATGTGTGCAGGATTAATCGTTTTATTCGTAATTTCCAATAAAGTGCACTCGAGAAATGACACACGTAGGATCGTCCGGAAAAACGTTGGTTGCATAGCGAAAATACCGATGATGGACAGCCGCGTATCGGCGCGAAAATTTATCCTGATCGAATTATGTTTCGTGGTCGTTGCAGTACGCCCGAATAATTATACGGAAACATCGCCCGCATTTCGGGCATTTTCCGATGCGAAAAAGCGCTTCTCTCTTTATTTCGTTTTGCGCGCGACCATCACATGTCGATTATCCTCACTCCCTCCTCCACCTCTGCTTTTCGGTCTCATTTCTGTCTGCATTGCGAAAGGATTTTTTCCCCGGCAACTTCGCAGGTGTCCATTTTTTTTTCGGGTAGAGAAATAACAACCGTCATATTTCTAAATTAGAGCGTACGGCGAGGATGTCGATGAGGTTTTTTTTAGCACGCGGCTCCTTTTATTTTGTTTAAAATCTGCCCGCGAGCGTGTGTTTGCATTTTTCAATAGGACGCGGGTTTCGAATAAACACGATTTTTGTTTCAGGCGCTGTAAATAATTTCATTTGAAAATTGTCACAGTTTTATCGGCTGCGACCCGCGTTCGCTTGTTTGCTTTTTTTCTCGCTATTTTCGGGCGCGCACAAACTTTCAAAGTAATTTGCACATTTAATGGCGATAGCCCATGTTTCCATTAAAATCTTTAGCAAAAACGTCAAAAAAAAAGAATCGAGAATTTTATTTCCAACAACAATTTGCAATTGCGCTTTAATAATGCAGGGTAGTAATAATATGCTATGGTATATCATATTGATGGAAAAGAGGAAAAAAATAACGTAAAATCGCGGCCGCTTTCGCGGCTTTTTTCGGTGTGAATAACCTGGATTATAACTTGGATTATAGTCCGAGTTTTTTCATGAAATAAGAGACAAATTACTTTATTTTCTTTTTTTTTTATGAAATGTCATTCAAAACTTTTACGGATAAGTGCAATGCAAAATAATTTTGCTGATGAATCGTTTAACCTATTTGCATTTATTTGCATTAGCAATTTGCATTTTAAAGTAACAGAGCTGTCATACAAGTAACGTAAAAATAGCGAAATAAATCATCGTTCGGGCACACATCAGCAATCATAACTCAGAATTCAATTAAATCCGCGAATCTGTCCCAAGTCACGTTCGTCGCCGTATTGGCGGCGAAAAACAGGCCGCCGTTGGATATTACGAGCAAAAAGTCGACGCCGAAGTTGCGAGCGCGGGCGCGCGGTGTCGATGATCAAGGGATGCCGCGGCACGGCGAGACTACGTGCCGAAAACTCGTCACGCTGGCGGAAGTTTCGCTTAAGAGGAACTTTTTCCACGATCTGTAATATGTCCACCGCAAGAAAGCGGAAGCGATTTGCCTCGGGGCGACAAGAAAGTGGCGCGCGCTCGGGGAGCGCGTCTCTCAGTTCCGGGCCCCGGAAGAGCAACGACAACTTAGTCGGTCCTTTTTGCTCTTCCACGGCTGTGGTTTGTTCAGAAAGTGGACTGAAGTATGATATTGCAACTTATCCCGCGGATGCTGCCCGGGCTCCCTCCCTCCCCCCGTCTAAAAAAGTGCCGCCAACAATCGCGATAAATCATCCGAGGGCGCACTCATAGCGCGCATCTAGCTTCAAGTATCGTTTTCACAACCTGACAAGACGACACCGCCGACCCTAATTCATCAATCTAGAAAGTAATAATATTAACATTAACGGTGAGAAAAAGAGAGAGAGAGAGAGAGAGAGAGAGAGAGAGAAAGAGAGAGCCAAGAGTAATATACATGAATAAAACTGAAAGTGTAAAGTTAAAGTACGTTCGTATTTTGAGCAAGATATTAATTAAAGCATGACGAAGCATTACTTTGACGATATCTCGCCTAATGACTCATCTTGTTTCGCAAATCGACAAAAGTCGAAAGATCGCGCGTGTGCTCGTATCTCATGTTTCCCGAAGATGCCGGACGCGACACTTTGGACATAACCAGTGCAGTCCGTTGTTCTCATGCATATGGAATTTCCAAGCGACACGTCTGCGTCCTGTTCGCTCCACGTCCAATACCAGAAGCGCGAGAGATAGCTCCTCGTGCGCAAACCGCCGTTTCTATCGCGGCTCTATTAATTATCGCGATCTGCCATAAATTCTGAGTAATAGTTACGGCGCGCAGGTCGAGAGGGTTTATTAGGGGTGCCGTTGCACGGGGAAGCGGGGTGACGCGCGACGATGCTGCTGAATACACGCAGAAACCACGCTGCTGAGGGTGGCTGCGGGTAATTACGACGGGGCGATATATAACGTTCGCTTGTTACATTTTATACACAAAACCGACGGAATTCTTCATCAGACAAATTGCATCGTCATCGTTGTGAACTCGTCGTTACGGAAATTTATAATATTAGTAACAGCTAAAAAGATCGAATAATTGCGGAGTGAAATAATTAAAACACGATATTGAACAAATAATTTCTCTTACCGGAATGACCTTCATTTTCAGCGAAAACATAATTTGCATATAGATTTAAAAAGATTTTAAACGCGGATTTGCGTTATTGCAATATATTTCGAAGTACTTGTATGATTTGGAAAGTTAAATCGTAGTATCTTGAAGGATATAAATTCAATTTCATGGCTTTTCGGTTGCCAGCCTTTGGTCCTTCAAAGTTCCAAGGAGACATTGTGACGGCCTCAAGGATATATCTTATCGCCTCACGGCCCGGGTTACTGCTAGGATCTTTCATGTAAATACTTAAGACGAGAGGTTCTTCCATGAAAGTGGTATAGAAGCTTCTCGAGATCTATCTCGATGACAGTATAATACTAACGGTCACGAAGTAAGAAGCAATTGAGAAGTCGGCAAAATCGAATCGCTTGATATGAGATTTATTTTCTTTCGGTATCCCTGCGGACATATTACAGCGCAAGTGATTCGCGAACTTCATATATGAGAGCCACTTTCGTTTATCGTTGTTAACGCAAGAAATAATTATAGTAAATTATGAATCGGCAATTGCTTAATTGGACTTGTGAGGAAAAGTCGAAAAATAAAGAGACATTTCCAATTGATTTGAGAATTAGAAAAATCCTCTTTTACAATTTTATTTTCTTTCCTCTAAACACACTACTTAATCTTTGACGATTCGGTTTTAATGATACAATAATGTGTGTTGAGAATTTCAAGAAGATAACATTTTTATCTCGAGTAAAGTGTTTTTCAGTGAATGCTTTGGTGAAAAAGTAACGTTACGATAAGAATGTTAACTGCGATACAAGAGACTTTGAATACATTGCACAAGTTCCGCCCTATGTGATCATTATTCTTTTGTTCTTCGCTATGTAATCGACTTGCCATAGTATCGTTCGAGATCCTTTTAGTGCGCGCTCCTTTTGCATCGTCATGCACATCCAATAAGCACTTTAGATATCGGAGATTCCATATGGTGCGCTGTTCTCTCGCGTGACTGACAAGTGCGCATCGTCAACAATACTCCGTGCATGAAATCTGAATGGTGTCTACGGCGCATGGTGGAGGGTCGTAACACAAAACCCTCTTGTCTTTGGTGTCTCTAGGGTGGATTATACACCGGATGCGTCTCCATAATCGGCTTCTACGATACGCGTCTATCAAATCCCCGTTGGGTGTTCGCTCACGACGAGGGCCATCGTATAAACTTTTCGAAAGGGTTTTGTCTTGCGGCACAAAACATTTGAGTGCCTCTCGTATCTCCGATCGATAAGGTGCGCTTGCGATTCATGATAGCGGTCGGCTGTGTCGCGTCGCTGTACAAAGTTAGTGAAAAAATAAATAAATTAGTTATCGAACGCACAGGAGAAGAGAAGACACTTGTTAAAGTTGTTGCTCGCTTAAAAAAATTGCGCAATAAGATTGTTGTTTTATTTGTCGAAAACTTTTATGCGAAATTTAATTTTTAAAAAGGAAGTTTCTCGGCTTTTTACTTCTTCATATTTTTATTTGCGACAACGCTTCTACCTGTAACAGCGTACAACGCTTCTACCTGTAACACGCAAGCATGCGCAATTATTTTTTAATAATGGCGCGTCGAAGTTTCTAAAAGAAGTGTACATTATACCGGGAAAAAATTTAGAATAAATGTTCCGAAAGCGAAACACGCGTTCCATGTATCATATCTTCGCGGATCCGGGATGCATTGTTATTACTGCCCACCTTGATACCGCGGAGCGCAGAATTTGCGATGTTCTGAAATATTCTGGACGCGAAAGCGATGTTTGCGGTGGGCACTCGTGAAAGGATCGTGCACGGACAATAGTAATCTTGCTACTATCCGTGCGATAAAGTGCGTCTAGCTACTATGCGAGACTTACGCGAGAAACGCAAGAATCGTAATCTACGCGATGAATCCGCTTTCTCGAACGTCCATCATATAACGAGAATCTTTCATTGCGATGAGAATGACTCATATCATTTACCGCGTTGTCACGTGTGAACTATACGTCAGTTCGTAAATTGATATAAGAACATGTATAACCGTACGATATGAAAGCCTCTTTATTGCTCTATTCTCATCCCTACAACGTTCGTACGTCTTTCTTCATACACTACATGCGCACAAGGAACATTTCGCTATAGTATGGCACCAGAATGAGAATATTCTCCTTAATACCTTCTTCCCCTTCGACGACTTGGCGCTCGGTCTATTATCGAATTTCCGTAGGTACAATAACGAGTTCACTATTCATAAGGGGATCGTAAAAATGCGAATACGTACAAGATACACGTGAAGCACTACTCGTGCTTCAACCTTTGAAAAACATAATAATTATTGCACATATTTACACATTTCATCGAATCGTTAGCAAATTATCGACGAGATCACTATAATATCGAACGAGTTGGGAACAGGTTTTTCAAATTTTTTAAATTTTTTTTTCAGATGTCATCGTCCAAGAGATAGTCTTTTTTCCTGGAGCTCCGGCTTCGACAACTTCACGGGATTCGTCAACTGGGGCTTCCTTCTGTTGGGGATCGGTGGTATCCGGTTACTACTGGAAAATTTCATAAAGTGAGTATTTCGTATTATCAATAATACTCTTATCTAACGGACACAGGAGATTTCGTCGGGTCGAAGTCCGCAATAGATCTGTCACTAAGCGCTGATCGAAGCTTACAAACGATCCAAGTGATTCAGTAATTAATTTTATTTTGTCTGTCAACGTGAATAAAGTATAACAAATAAAAAAATCGAAAAATTATCTTGCCATTGACAAGACGTCAACTCTGAATGGTTCTCGCGGGATGTTTTTCCAATTTTCGAAAAGACACGTTAGCGGAAATCGTCGATCATTCGGATCGAGACGGCTGTATTTCGAGAAGATAAAAAACGCGGGGAAAAAAAGGGAACTAAGCGCTAGGTAATGGTGTCGAGTATGCCGGTCCTAATAATATCGTAAAAAAAAATAGAGTTCTGACAAGTAATAACTTTATCAGGAAGTTGTTCACCAGAACTGGAAGAGGATGCTTCTGCGTGGGGTGGCGTCCATCAGGAATTCGATAGAGGAACAAAAGGCGATCAAAAGCGTCTCCATCGGTTTGATGGATGCGCTGCCGCGGCGATTGACGGCGTACGACAAAAAGAATCGATTGCCGGGGAGCTGACAAAATTGAGTTTGTAACTGCAACTGTTATAGCGTGATTATTCGCTGTTCTAGAAGCGGTTACAGATCGATCGTGTAAGTGGATGTTATTTGGTGCCTGTCGGTTGTTAGACATCGTGACAAGTTGTCAACTGGTAAGATTGCATGATCTGTTTTGGTTCGCTCGTATCTTATCGGAAACAGATGAAAAAAATTTTATATATTTAGAAATTAGGCAATGCTATTGCTTACAGCGCGAGCATGACGTTCAATATTGCGAGTTGACAAGATTCAATAATGAGGCAGAAGACGAGAAAAGAAATATAACATTGTAGAAAATCAAAATATTATCTGTCAGATAAAGGTTATTAAATTTTAACGATTTATAATTGTATATTCTTATAAATAGAAATGCATTGTGTAATATAGAATGTCTCACTAAACGATTAAAATTTCAATTGGATATAAATTATTATATAGGTCGCAATATCACGTGACATAATCTATGCCTATCACTATCATAATCTAATTTATCTCAGCACTCGTGGAAATTTATGTACTTTCTAGTATGAATTATTCAATTGACTTCTCGAAGTGGTCGTTACTTTCGCGATGCACTGCTGGCGAAAGGAAGAAAAAGGAATGTGAGCAATAGGAAATTAATTTATGGATGGCAGGATGGAGCGGAACTGACCGTTCTTCGCCTTTTCGAATCAAATTAGCCGTCGTCTGCAGCGATGGTCGCGAATCCGTGCCCGATTCTGATATTCAAACAATAAAAGTTATAAAATTTTTCTCACTTTTATTTATAATATTATATAGATGTAAAATGTGTACGTATATATTTAGACTTTATATGAATAATCATAATTCGCACACACAATAATAATAATTTGAATCAATATTGCGTTGCCAGAGCTAATCATTTTCTTACGCATATTGGCGCCGTTGCTAGTCGCGCGACGCTCCTTCCTTGTAGAATATCGTCCTTGCAGGAGTAAGTTAGCCACCTTTTTCTTTCGAGGGCGAGAGAAGGACGTAAGCGTTGCCCATGAATAATTTCAACGAGATTTTTATCGCCGTTGTAAACTCTCGGCCTCGCGTCCGGCTGCTCCCGGGGGCGCGTAACAGAAATTTATCACGCTCGTTAAGCGCGGAAAAACTTTCGAGGGAACTTTTGCGACGTAATTGCTCGAGGTAACCCCGACACGCTTCATACGAGCCTGAAACAGACGCAGCTGTGGACGGCTTAAGACATAAACTGTAAGTGATTCCACTTGATCGTCTGGAAATCTTTCTGCGAGATATCGAATGTTCAAAGATATTTTAATATTTGATTGATCTTTTAATTTGTTGTGTTTGTATATTTAATTCACATTTCGTGTAATTAAATTAAGTTATTATGTTTTGCTAACATATGAGTTGGCATATTATTTTGATATGTTTGATAATCTAAAACCTTTTTTATGTTATTAGTGTAAAGGTAAAAAAAAAATCGTATTTGTAATTAATTAGAGATAAATCTTCAACGATAACAATTTATTGAAAACATTCTCAAATAATATAGATATCACAAATATAGAATTCGACCGCGCCTTCATATGACATAATCAATCGACCAGATAATTTCGCGTGCGATCACGTCACTGTTTAATTAACTTATCGCCGCTTCCGGTTCAGCACTTCGGAAGAATCGTAACCATTTAATACCGCTGCGTTCTCGACTGATTCATTTCAACCGGTAAAAAGTCCTTTCCAGACTTGATTCGCGAAGAACAAGAACAAGCGGCGGCCGGAATCGCGAGGATGAAGCTGTCGGCACGATTCCACTGCGATCGAGATTAATCGACGAGGCGAGAAGGTGGGGAAAAGAAGAGGGTGGATTGGGGTGAAAAAAACACGCCGGTAAGAAAGCGGGTAGATTCTTCTCTGCGAAGTGAAAAAAGGCTGCGCGAGAGCTCAATTAATCGAACTCTCGACGAAAGGCTCTCTCGCTATCGATAAAAGTCCGCGGGGGTAAAACAGGTTGGCTGATATTATGTATTTCTTCTCTTTTGTCTTTCGTATCAATCTGCAGATTGCTTATGCAATTTTTTCGGTGGTCCGCCACGCACAATCATAATTTATGCATTTAAAGCAACCCAGGTACGGATACACGTTTAGCCTACAGGTAGTCTATTAGCTCGGTTTCATCGAAATAATTTTCTACCTACTTGTACAGTTACATGATTTCTTTTTGACGCAACTGAAATTCTTAAACGCGTAATAATTTGAAAAATTGTTTCTGCCGCGGTTATAAATGATCCGACAAACAAGGAAATGCGGAACAATTTATTTGTTCCTGTCATAGATTTTCGATACGTATTTTCAGATATAGACTTTAAATCTTTAAGAAACGTATTATATATTTTCGATAAAGATTTGTTAGGAAAGAATCTTTTTATGTTATGTAAATTCGTAGTATACGAACACGTATTAATTTCATTTTTATGTATGTAGATTAGATTCTTTATAGAATCATGAAATTCTCGAAATACTAAGAACAGAGACTAATATAGTTAAATTTTAGTCTTTAAGCTTTAGACGTTTATACTGACATATTAAAAAAAATTTGTCATCGTCGATATCGGACGTTAGCCTGGATGTCGCAACGACGACTATTTCCGTCGTCCTATTTTACCAGCGATTTTCGCAAAGACTCGCACGTCGTGTCAGAACATAAAACTCGTTCACCGTTCATCCGGATTACGGGATCTATAGTCCGATATTATTGCGCGGAAAGAAGTATTAACGTCTCTCGAAATTTGATAGTCCTTAACGTTTTCCGTTTTCGGTTATATTAATGTCTATTATATATCACTTATTTGACGTTTTTCGAGTAATTCGATACATTGAGCGAAACTTAACAAAATAAATTAATTTCCAGAAAAATGAAATAATATAATGGAAATCTTGTATAAGTGATAATATTGATATTTGGTTATACCTATAAAATCATAAAGAGTGTTTTATTTTTGAAGTATCTAAACACAAAGAAGTTCACGCGGAGTGAATAAATTGGCGCTATACTATACAATGAGCTTTAGAAGAATCGTTAATAAACTGTGCTGCTTCGTACATTTTATCTAGATAAATATCAAAATAAATTAATCACAAGCCGCGCTTACAGCTGCTCCAGAACTCTCCTCGAGAACAATCCATCTCGTCTCGTCGGTCCAATCCGACATTTGAAACGAGCCTTCAGGCCCTGCCATTAATTCTGGAAAAGGAGAATCATCTCCCGCGCTCTTTACAATCGCAGAAGCGAAGAAGACTCGCTCGTTCCGCGGGTTTTATTAATATTTAATGCGAATCGTTTGCACGCCCGCATTTCCATTCGGGCTTGTCCCATATTGGCGCCATAACTCTTCCAATCTGGACTCTCGCGCTCTCCCTTCCACCGAGAGTCCACCCTCGACGGACTCCCCTCTCACTACGTTCGACGTGAAATTGGGGATTTTATCGTGACGCTGTATTAACGAACTCCAGCGGGCAAAGAACGAGCGTGGATTTAACGGGGCGCTCACGGATCAAGACGGCTATTCCCGTCGGGGAAGAAATTTAATATCGTTTCTACTCACGCCTCGGAGCGATGAGTTTCGATAAGTGCGATATCCCTTTAACTTTCCAGTGCTCGAAAAATGTTTTAGGAAACTCGTCCACCGTGTATATACGCGTATCGAGGTCAAATCGGTTTAACCATCGGCAGCATTGAGCGATTGCTTTCTTTTTCGGTGAGTCCTTCCATTCCGTAATAATGAATATCTTTATATTGATTTTGACGTATTATTTATCCGAAATTCTAACTATATTCTCGAATATTTGAGTTTAATAGATTAATTTGAAAATAAAATAATATAATAGATCGATTCATTAATTTTTATATCCACGATTAAGTAATTTTTTTCCCGGACTGTACGTCCAAAGTTTGTAAGACCATAAACTTTGACTGTTCTAAATGTTGCGATGTCGATGGTGGAATTTGTATTATTGATTGCGTATCTGACATGTGTGACGTGAGCCATTTTCGTGAATTATCACCGATCGACTGTCACATAGCGCGTTACACCATTTAATTATGAACGAGAGTCATATTTTTTCCATGCTACTGTCCAATTACCGTAAACTGCGTCAACGTGACTGATTGCCTTCTCGCAGGGGAGAACTGGGTCGGTGATCGCATTTCAATAAATATTGTCTCTCTGTAACAACCGCGCCCACTTCGAATACTTTAATTATTCGATCCATAAGCCTCGTTTATCATCGTTAGTGGGCGCGTACGACCTAAAGCCATTAGTGTACACCGCCATCTTTTTTTCGGTTGGTACACCTATCTCGTGTGTCTCGCGAGAAAATAATGTTCTCGATGGCTTAGATCGATACCATCGCAAATTATGTTCTCGGACTAATATAACGATAAGACAGAATGTATTTTTGTGGCGACACGATAAGTCATCAAATACATTTGTATATTTCGGAATAAATGAGAGGGTAATTTCGTTTCGCACGTTATTCACAAATTATCTCCACTCGTTATAATTTCGATTTTATTGCGTCGATATGCTATGCGAAAAATATGAAATTTATGTAAATTCTCTTTACATATTCCACACCGCTTTTGTAATCAATATCAAATCAGCTTTTTATGTTACAAACAAACATAACTTAATCGAATATCGTAGTTTAGCATATTCCATTTATTTATTGGGTTATCAGACGCGTTCTGTTTCTGCATAACTCCGTTTGATTTACATGCAGAAATTAATATATGATTCGTATGCACCGTTTTACGAAATTGCCAATAAATAATCCGGCGGGATTTGGTTGGGGGGGTGGGGGGGGGGCATCGTTTATAATATTTTCCGACGTACGCCATCAAAATAAATCACAGATTCAAATCAAGATCGCAGTCAATCATAAAAAAAACACTACATTTCTATCGAGCCGACTTTCCAAGGAAATCGTTTTATCTCTTAGTGTGAGTTTTCCCTTTGTATGGTGTCATGAGACGGCTATTATTTAGTTCAAGAACAAGGTACCTGCATCCTTTATTTTATCTCTTGTTTTTGCTTTCTCAGCTATCAGTTGTAGAGAAAATTGTACCAGAAACAGACTGTAATAATGAAGCATTTGCCTCTCGGTTCGTGTTGCGCTTAATACGCCAGCCATGAAAAACTGATAAGAACTGAAAAGATCATAATGGAAAACGTGCCAATTTTTATCTCTTATATTTATCCTTTTTTCTCGATGTTGTTTTGCTCGTAACGCAACAAGGTGTACTTGTTCCATCTTGTTGAATATAAATATGTAGATCTCTCAACGCCAACTTTTCTATTCTATGTTTCAGCTATTTATAATCGATTTCATTTATGCTAATGTAATTTATTCCATCGTGTATAACTATTTGTATTGTTAGAATTAATATTATATTGCCTTTGTTATCGTTACTACTGTGCAGTTATTAATATAAATGATAATATTATACAAATGCAAATTACTGTAATTATTATACAAATTGCTTTCGCGTTTATGAAAAGGTATCCATTAAACAACTATTTATATGAAGTCAATTATAAAAATAATTTTTCTTTTTTAATTTTATGTTGCAGATATGGAATCAGAGTGGATCCCTGGCAGTGGTTTCTCTTTCTCAGCGGCAAGAATGATGGCGGAGAAGAATACCCTTCGTTGTTGCTGATTTGCTGTAAGTAAAATTGCCGATATGTCATTTTATATTCGTTTAATGAAAACGGAGCTGTCGGTGTTCATGGCCTCGATTACACAAAGTGATCGACATTTATTATAAGAAGCTCTCGTTTACCTCATTTCATCAATATTAACGGAAGTATGTCAGTTGGAAAATTATTGATAGCGCTATTTGAGAACTCTTTTCTGTTAAGATATTTTTTCCACTTTGTGAAATATAAAACTTATATAGAACTTGTCAATACCGGAAATGATTTTTTAGGTCATTATAAATTTATCAAGAATAAAACTGATGCTACTAAATAGTACTAATTGTAAGTTACACAATAATGACAGAATCGCAGATATAAATAAGTATTATCGAACGTATTACATATAAGTAAGGATTATTGTGAGAAAAGTTATTGCACGGTACAAAATTTGTTATATTAACAATTATTATATAAAATTATATAATATTAATATAATACGGAAATTATATTAAAGATCAACATTCATTGAGTATTCAAAACGAGAAATCGGTTGACTCGCAATTGGTTTTTTTTTTTTTATCGAAACGTATAAAATTGAGCTGTACATCGGCGGTAGAAGGAGAACTATAACTCGGACTCTGAATTCCGTTTTATTGTCGAGGGCTTCCGCGGTTGGTCCACGTTGATTCTCTGGTATCCGCGGTAATTCAATTTCATCGTTTTCCGGACGCCATGCTTTTTTTTTTATTTAACCTGTGTGTAATGTAGATATGCGTTTCTGAGCACAGCGATAACGGTTGAAAACTGTAATGACATATACGATTTTGTCCATGAAGATAACAGGTGAAAGAGACAGGAGTGATACGTTTTGTGTGTCCATCAAAAATATAAAAATAAAAAAAAATATGAGAGAATAACGAATATACTCCGGGGGTTTGAAGCCGAATTTCACCTCCTCTTGGCAGCCGTCCACTGATAACAGCCTGCCCAAGCAGAGGTATAGAAATTAAATAAAAAAAAAAAAAAAAAAAGAATGGGAAGAATGCTAAGAGAGCTCAGTGAAATGAAGTGAAGAGCGTGGTGTCGGTTGGGAGTAGCGTCGGTGGCGCTGATACGAGATGGGGAAAATGAAGGTCCGTTTCCGTCTGGCAACCCAGCTTTTGTTTTAGTTATCTCGTTACGGTGCGCGCATCGCAAAATTGCAAAAAGATGGAAACAATTCGGCGGGTTAATTCCCCATCTCCCCAGAATTCATCGATTCTGAATATTCTCTAGATGTTTATTCAGGAGCAGCATTCGCGAGAGTTTTTGCAACGCGATATAATCTGGTTGCGTGGTATAGTCGCTTCTGCGACAGAAGAACTAACGAATGTTTTGTTTTTTTCATAATTTACGGTCAGTTATTTAGTGCGTTTTTGCTGAAGTTATTGTTTAACTTCAAAAATGACAATGCGACTTATTGCGTTTCCTAATGTACACTTTTAAAACATGGACCTTTAAAATGAAGTCGAAATTCAACAGAGGCTCTCGTGAGGCATAAATTTCGAGGTACGCATCGTGCCTTTAAACGGCAAACATATTGCTCGCGTATTGTCCCTTTAGTGCCGCGCGGTGTGCTCGCTTGTTGCGTTTTCACCCGAGGTTGCAACACTATAACTTACATGTGCGCAACAACCGCGTACGTGTGCAGTTGCAAGCGCAGCTTGCATACGCGATGTTTGCAGATCAGGGATTGCAACTAAAAAAAACTCTGAAACGTTTCGAAATTGTAATAACACGAAGTGAAATTAAAAATAGTAATGCCGCTTTCATGTTTTCATTATCATTTGAAAACTTAATCTTGTTAAAACAGAAAACTAAAAAAGAGCAAATTAATTTTTAATTAATTCTTTCAGTTAATGGTACTATTACAGCGTTAGGAGAGTGAAATACATGATTTTCACATTTATATCTATTTTTACGAGAAAAAAGTATTTCTACTTCCGTTTGATCCCTCTTTGAGAGTTTTATTAAAATCGATTTTATGTAGAGGAATTACCTACTTTCGCCTCTCTTGGCGTCGTTCTAAAACAGATCTTCATATAATTCCTACGCAGTTATTTTCCTAACGGTTTCAATCCCTGGTGCAGATTGAACATGGGAGGCTTACGTCGGGCAAGCCGCCACGGAGGGTTGCATCATTTACACATAAGGGAAGGTAATGCTCATGGGAAACTACGGCTAATAGCTCCCGTATTTTAGAATCTACGCCGCCCGTTGCTCCTTCCAACGCTAAACTCGTTTTCTTTTTACAGCGAACCCTCGGCCTTCTCTCTATCTGCTCCCACGACGCCCCTGCACGGGGGCAGGCAGGTTGTTTTGTTCCTCGTATCTAACGCGACCTCTCGCATAATAATTTTTATGGCGAGCGAGCTGAAATTGCTTTTTAAACGCAAGACCTCTCTCGCGGCGGCTGCTTCACGATTAGAGTATTAATCATTCAGCGGCGAATTAGACTTTCGGCGAATTAGACTTTCGGCGAATTAGATTATTTAGGAATTATTTTAAGAGAATGGAAAAAACGCTTGTTTTTTTTTTTTTTTACTTTTAATTTACATCTGTGTGTTTGCGTCGCAAATCCATGTTTTTTTATTATTTTATTAATTCAACTTTTTATTGCGTTTGTGCATCATTTGTTAGCAGAAATGGCAATGCGTTAAGCGTGGTATTTCAATGGATCCCGGTGAGTAGATATAGTGAGTTCAAAAACAACAGACTGAAATTTTGTTGCATTCCACGACAGGGTAAAAATACAACCGTGTGGTTTGCTACGCGAAGAGTATCCATAGTTTATATATATTTTTGTTTTTTTAACCGGAAATGTAATATGGCATCTCTTTGATCAACATTTTGCGATATATTACAGTTTTTTTTTTTTTTACATTTGCATTGTATGTGTAGTACAACGTGTCGCGAGAATGTACAAGCGACAACATGTTGCCGCCAGAATCAATAATCCATCTAGTTATCTATTTCGTTCTTAATTAAATCTACTGTTGAAAATGTAATTGAATTGATTATCCTTAATCACAACTTCCTGTTAACAATATTAAAATAAATTCTCGTGATAATTATAAATTTAGTTTTGTTCTAAATTTGGCAACGAGTTTCGTAACGGTTAGGTCAGGTTCGAACAGGTTGCACCTGTTCGAAATAGATGTATGTTGACTTAAATAAGATATCGCGGCAGGCACGAGAATAGAAAATTGGAAACGATAGGGGAAAAAAAGAATATCAGCTTTCCTTTCGCTCTTCGGATTTCCGCCTCCAGGGTTGCCACGATGAGGGAAATGGACCTTCCCCGAGAACGTGTAGCTCGCGTCCGTTTGGTGGTTTTCCGGAAGTTCCGAGACGGGGAAGTTCCAAGGTAACTTAAAGTTAACTGTAACTCAATGCTCGCAACCCTTGAGCTGCGTAACGAGTCCGGGGCTAAATGTGAAAGGGTTGCGCCAACCGCCGCTGACCACGCAGCCAACCGCCACGATAGCTCACCAGCATGAGGGTTTGTTCCCATAACGTCGGTAACGTTGTCGGTGCCCACACCGTGGTATATCTTAGTCTTTGTTGCCCAAGTGTTAAGACTGAGAAACCAGCGAGATTTGCATGCCGTCTATGGATTTCGCTGCGGCATGCCGTGCATCAGGCACAACCGCGCCGCGGTAAAGCCGTTAACAATGTCCGCTGTTACTGTCGATCCTTCTGCATCGCTTACCGTAACGGTATTCTACAGAGAAGAACCTTTTCGTGATAAAAAGCTGATTTTAATTATTTTCTACATCGCTTTAGATTTAGATCGCGGCTAGACGTATAATATGTAATATTTTTCTATTTTGATGACGTTAAATTATCGATGGAAAATTATATGTTACTTAATAATTGTCGTATTTGTTTTAAATTTAATTAGTTTTTTTGGTGATTAAAAATGATTCGTAATATTATTTTAGTTTTCTTTTTGGATAATTAATCTTCTTAGTTTCTATTTTAGCTTTTAAACTTTGGTCGACATTATTCCGTGCAAGCGGTTTTAGACATTCAGCTCAATTCGCAAAACAATTATTATTTAGCTTTTTACTTTTTTCCGTCTCTTGTTCAACCCGTTATCTGAATACAGAAATACCACGAATGAGTTCCAAGCGAGGTAAAATTTTAAAAGGGTTGATACGACCAGATCAAGTGCGCTATTTCGTAGCCGGCGGAGTGAGAGAATTCGCGCGATAGGGATCGCTTTCGCATTAATTTCAAAAGGCAGATCTCCGCGTTTTCACGCCGGGCGTGATGTTATACGTTTCGCCGTTTCGCGTTGGTCATTAAAGCGCAGAATGGAAAACGGAGAAGTGGGTCGTCGTATGAATTACTTAATCCGCGCAGGAGTAGCGCGGCGCGCAGGTAATCGAATTAAATGCGAGATTGCCCTCGCGAAATTCCTCCGCATGCATTCGCTATTTGCGTATCTCCTCCGCTTATTGTCTATACGCTCGGCCAAGCTAAATGTAGACTTATTACAAGTGTGTGTCGACCGAGCCATCGTGTGTGTGTTTTTTTTTCGTTCCCACGTCCGTACGCTTCTGATTAAAGATCTAACGGCTTCACGGCACTGCACCATTATCATCCTTTCGCATGGTTTTCTTTTTCATTAAAAAAATTAGCACGGCTAGAGAAGGAGCATCGACATAGACCGTGATATATCAT